TTTTTTTTTTTTTTGGTTTCAGCTCTAACTCACCGTCTAGCCCATCTCAGTCCTTACCGCCCCCTAGACGGAGACAAGAGAACGCTGTTGAGAGGGGCCCTTCAGGTAGTCCACGTCACATATTGGTGCACATTCTGTTGTCCCAAATATTGATAAAGATATATTTACTACGCACCAACAGCAGCAAAACATGAAGAAATAGGATGAATAAATCAAGACCTACAACTTTTATGAGTTTTAAAGATATTCCAAACAAATGTATTCAGCTCTTCCTTTCCAGGAAGGTGTTATTGTATTGTTTGAAAAAAATTACAAAGAAAAACATTAATGAAGACCAAAGAACTCACAGAACAGGTCATGGATCAACATGCCGAGAAGGATTAGGTTTTATCAAAGTATTTACAGCTATGAACACCACCGTGAAGCAATGTTCAATCTGTATTCTAAATATGAAAATGACAAGGATGGATTTAAACTGGAAAAAACTTGGAAGGGCTTCATAAGACTTTAGGTGTAGTTAGAGTTTCACCTCCCAGCAGGACAGCATCACTGAATGTACAGCCAGGGTTGCAATAGAGTGTAGAAAAAAAACTTGGATGAGACTTAAAGAGGCTTTACAGAGTTTTTTAATAATATTGCTACCTGTTGCCAAAACACAGAAATGCAGCAGTCTTCTGCTTATTCTGGAGGCACACGCTCATACTTAACAAGGTTCTTTTTTAGTTTTGTACCTCACTTGGAGTTTCCATTGGTGTCTTAGTTTAGCTGAATCCACAAAATACATCTTTAATATACTGCTTTGATTGTCTGTTACGTCGGATACCTTTAACATGGACGTGCTTGACCATCCGAGAAACGGTGAGGGAACTTCCAACTGAAAGTAATTTCAGGAAAATGGGCTACAAGCTTATAGTTGCATCAGCACTGAACTACTGAGGTGTCAGTCTGATCTTCAAACAATGTTTTAGTCAAAATTTTTAAAAAGGCTATTTTAAAGATGTTTTCCATTAAAAACTTACATAATGTCTCTTTAAAAAAACTTTGAAGATGGAGGATTAGGTATTTTACAAAGACGAAGGGGTAAAAACTTAATATTTGAGGTGCAACCCTGGCAAAGACATTCCCCGTAAGACTTTGTGCAAATTACAGCAAAAAGGTGATTTTAAAAAGCTTTGACTCTGCAGGATATGTATCCTTTTCTTCCACCTCATAGATGTGCACCAATTTGTGTTGATCTTACCAATACAAACCTGTTAAAAATTATCAACTCTGGTTGTATGGTGACAAAATGTAAACAAGTTTCAGCGGTCAGAATGCTTGTATTTTTGTTTTTGCCCCAAAAAAAAGGTTGCTAAAAACGTACAGTCTTTACGCACCTGACTTTTGTTCTTTTATATTTATTCGACTAACTACTTCTATGAAAAGTTATATTAGTGAGTTTGTTACACATTTCAGACCTGAACTTTTGATCAGATTTGAGTCCATCTTTTAAATCTGCTAAATTCCTAATAAGTGACTAGTGGTTTTGCAGATTTAACAAATATTTCTTTTAATATGATTAAGGTTTTGCTTCTCAAGATGTAAGAAACCGGCCAAACTCCACTGTGCAAACAGATGGACAGCGTCAAGACTCCATATTGGCATGGCCAGAAAGAAGGGCGAGGTGAGGCAATGATTACATCTGTTTAAAGGCATTTCTCGGTTTTAATTGTAAGTGAAAGTGGGTGTTGAAAACCAATTGCATGGTTTCAACCCATCATCTCACTCTTCTCTGCTTAGACCTTTGTCTCAGCCAATGCCGTATGCAGTGCATTTTGCCAAAGAAGATAATGAGGACAGCATTAGCCTCGCTCGGTCCATCAGCAAGGACAGTTTGGCCTCTAACATCATGAGCATGACCCCGAAACACAAGCTAGGATCAGTTCTGCCTCACAGACTCAGTGGCCAAAGCCTTCTCAGTCACATGCGCATAGAGGACGAAGAAGAGGAATTTGAGGAGGAGGAACTGGTTGCTGTCATTCATCCATCCAATCTTTCTCGACGTCGAATCGTGAGCGAAATGGAGCAGGATGAACTGGAAGCACAGATTGGACCGTCATTCAGCAGGGTTTCTGATGGCTCTCATGTTGCCCGTCAAGACTCAAGTCCATTTGCTCATGACCATCAGGCGGGAGGTTACTATCTGGAACCTTTAATACCAACTGTCCCAAAGCAAGCCAAGGAGAAGGGTATATCAGTGAACAAGCAGGAGGAAAGTGGGGAGAATCACTGCAGGGCAGTAGCAGCAGTGAAAAAAAACCCTACAAATATACCAAACTCCTCAAAAAGGAAGTTCCCCGTGGTTGATTCAGTACTCACTTCTCCCAGGCCCCCTGTCGAGGGGTCAGTTGATGCCCCCCAGTCTCCAGGCTTTTTTCTTCACTTGGGGGCTGAATCAGAAAAGCACACTCATATCTCAGCTGTCACAGAAGCAGGGCAAGACTCTGACTCCGACATTGCTGACCTCGAAGAAGACGATGAGGAGGACGACCAGACAGAGCTGGAGAAGACTTTGAGGGTGAATCGTTTAGACAAGAGCAACATCGATGAATTTGGAAATGGAGAAGTTGAGTCGGCAAAGCTTAGAGAGGACTTGAAGGTAAGCGAGCATGAGGATAAAGAAGATGCAAGCGGACGTTCAAGCCCTTGTCCCAGCACCGTGTCATGGGCGAGCAGCTGCAGCGCCTCGGGTAGCATAGGAGTCAAAATGACCAGCTTTGCAGAGAGAAAGCTTCTTAAACTTGGCCTTCGTGAGGGATACTCAAGTACAAGTAGCTCCCAAAAGACCACACCTGATGGGTCCGAGATTCCCCCTCCATGGCATGTGAAGGATTCTAATCCCATGTTGGGGAAGAATATAACTGCTGGCTCTTTTGTTCCCTCAGAGCTGCTTCAGCTTCACATGCAGCTGGAAGAGCAGAGACGTTCAATAGAATATCAGAAGAAGAAGATGGAAGCCCTGTCAGCTAAGCAGAGACTAAAGCTTGGAAAAGCTGCATTTTTGAACATTGTAAAGAAAGGTGGAGGAAGGAGTGACACACTTCCTTTACCCCTAAAAAAGCCCAAGGAGTCTACTGGATCAACATCTACAGAGAGGAGGAAAGCAAAGCCGCAGTCATGTAAAGATGATTTATGTCTCGATGCTCTGAAAAGTCAAACAGAGGGACGGCCGATAAACAGAGACAAGAGCTGGAACTCTCTTTCTCAGGATAACAGTCCTGAACCAGATTTCAATGAATGCTCCCACTCTATAGATCTACTCAATCAAGCTATCAGCTCTATCCAGCAACAGATGATGCAGCTTTCCTTGCAGCAAGATTTTCTGATGAAACAAAATGTGGTCTCACCACCAGAGCATGCACAAACAGATAAAAGCACAGACTCCGGGATAGATCCAAATACACCCCAAACAGTATCCTCTACCTCAGACTCTAAAGCCTTTGCAGCTCACTTTGTAGATATCGGTGGCAGTAGTTCGATGCCTTCCCGCCGTCCTCCCAAACTTACTTCCAGCCAACGAAACAAAGTAGAGCGCAAACAAATGAAAGAAAAAAGCAAACCGGCTTTAAGTAAGTCCAACGACCCGCTCCAGGTAATCACGACTTCTTCACGGGAATCTAATGATGAAGAACTGGAGACAGCCAGTGCTGCTGAAGTACAGAGCGTTCAGAGGGGTGCTACATTCAGAGTGCATGGAAGCACTGAAAAGGGAAGTGCGCACTCTCCAGGCAAACTAAAATCCCATAACTCGCAAGTTATGTTCAAGACATCTGAATCTGCATCACTGGAAGCAGAACAAGAGGTGGACCAAGCAGCCAACTACAGCAAACAGAATGACTGTGCCGATGAGAGCGCCAGGATCAAGAGTCAGCTGATCGAGGTGGACCTGTCAGAGCTAAAGGATACAGTGGAGGATGCCGGCGCAGATGTCCTAGAAAGCTCAGCAGAAGCTGAGCAGAAAGGTGTAATAGGCTTCTTCTTTAAGGTAAATCCAACTGTTATTATTTTTTTTGTTGTTTATTGACATGTAGCTTTCTTTGACTTCTCAACATTTCACACCCCTTTTAAATAATGTGTTACATTACAACTACAAACTATTTTTAAAGGGATTTTTTTTTTTGACAGACAACACATGCAATGTATAACTGTGATGTTCAGGTAAAGGATACAAGGTCTTAAAATTGAAACGAAATAGGCTGTGTATATTTTTTTAAGCCCCAATAAGTCAGCACTGGGTAAAGTACCTTTACAATTACAGGTGAAAGTAAGCATTTCTCTACACGGGTTGCACCTCTAGAGAGTGGAGGACACTGCATTTTTATTTTCTCACGTTCCTCTTTGCATTTCTTTTGGGGTTTTTTGGCTTGGACTTTGACTGGGACAGGGTTCCACAACTAGGGTCAACAGATCCCATTTCACCACATGTGGGACAAAGAACATGTTTTTGTGTGACAATGTGGGACATCAATGCATCAAGGAGGTCTTAAACAACTTTAAAGAACTTTAACATTTCTGTTTTGCCCCTTTGCTTATAACATTACTATGCTTTGCCATCTGGTTGATTCAGTAGTACATAAAAACCTGCAATTAAAAACGTAACAAATATATTGCATTATTAAACTTTTCCAAGTTCTCTCACATGAGAAAACAAAGTAATCTAGGAGCTTTCATACTATTTCAAAGTGCCTTAAGTTAACACACCTGACTGTGTATAATCAAACAGAACGGTCAGGTTTATAATTGTTCTTTCAAATATAGTATTTTAATGTGCCTTGTCTCATAATAATTTAACTTTATTAATCTCACATTGGAGAAATTTCATTGGGTGGCACCCAGGAAGCAGTGTGGGGTTAAGAGTCTTGTTCAGAGACCCAGAGTCGCAGTCTTTGGGAGTGGGGCTTGAAATCAGAAGCTCAGGATTCCAAGCTCTATGCACTAAACATTAGGCCACCACTCCTCAACTCTGCAACAACATGGAGCAACAACATAATACCAGGACATCTCCAAACGCCACATAAAGAGTTTACTCGAGTAGAACAATATACTTAACCACACATTTAAGTAGAACATGCACTGAATTACTGTAGGTTACATTTCTGAAAAAAACAAAACCCATTCAGCTAGGAATCACACCCTGTAGATTAACTGCATAAAAGAAATGTTTTTGGAAATGATCTTCATTTACTGGACATTGTTAACCAAAGAAAAATGAACAAAACCAAAAATATGACTCAAAACTGGTCAGAAGGAAACAAGAACCTAAATGAAATAAAACATTTCTTCAATTTTTCTCCATCATAGTAGAAATCAGTGCTCTTCCAGCACCAAGGAGAGCGCCTGGCTGATTTTTTTTTTCTTTCTTTTTTTATGTTTTGTCAGTCAAACCTCTTTCAGTTCTCTCCATCACAGACAATGCACTTTCAGCACCACAGAAAGCACCTGCCTGTGAAACACAAGAAAAGAGCACAGTCTTAAAATCTAGCACCACTCTGGCTCAGTGCTCACAATATTCTAATCTATATCTTAGACAGCTATCTTGCCTTAGATCTTCTTGGCTTTATACTGCTCGCTTCAGATTGTAGCTTCTAATAAGGCCTTCTGCTTAAATGCAAAGCTGTAGAATTCTTTGCAACTGTATTGCAAAGTTGCAAAGTTGGTCTTGACTTGAGTATCCCTCTTGATGAGCTCCAACAGCGATGGTTCTTCTGCTCACTCTAGGCTGCAGTCATGTGGGAAAGCATTCTCTCTAAAGTTGCACTGGTTGTGAGGATGCTGAAGAGAAGGGATGCAAAAGCAGTCAGATTCGATACAATCTTGTAGAAGTTGGAAAAATCATGTTTGATTGTTTCTGCCTTTTGGTCAAGAAACTTTTGGACAATAGCACTGGTCTTCATTCCAAAGAAGGAATCAATTTTTCGGAGCTTTGTCTTGAGAGTGAAAATTATGTCATATACCTCACAGATGGTCCTATCCTGTCCCTCCAACAGAAGCAAAACATCATAGAAGATCTTCACTATCTTATTGTTATTTGTTAATGTTAAAGAATTAGGAAAGGTTCAAGGGAGTTGTTCTAGGGCATTGCATGTTTGATCTGCATCATGTGTTGTTATTTAAAATGTTTCAGGATGATGAGAAGGCAGAGGATGAAATGGCAAAACGCCGTGCCGCCTTCCTCCTCAAACAGCAGCGCAAAGCTGAGGAGGCCAGACTCCGGAAACTGCAGCAAGAAGCAGAAAGTGAGATAAAACGTGATGAGGCTCGGTATGTTCTGGCCAAGATTCAAACACAGAAAGTCCAAAAAGGTCCAACAAATATTAAAGATAATTTTTTTTAACTTCTTGTGCTATTTACTCAAGACGGAAAGCAGAGGAGGACCGTATTCGTAAAGAAGAAGAGAAGGCCCGTCGAGAGCTTATCAAACAGGAGTATCTGCGGAGAAAGCAAGAAGCTCTTATGGAAGAACAGGGTCTCACTAAGCCTCGCACCAGGACCAAACCTCGGAGGAACAGACCCAAATCCATGCATCGGGGAGAAACCAGCAGCCTTCCTAAAGGATCCACAACTCGTAAGAACATCTGTTTCTGCTTGAGTAGTGTCCTGTGTTGTCTTCATTTGTGCATCTGTTTGTGGGCCTGCTGTGTCATCCTGTAAGAGTGTGCATGTGTGTCATGCAGGTGATTCTCTGAAGGTGTCAATGTTAATCAAAAACCAGAGTTCAGGAGCAGCCTGCAGGGGAGGTGAACTTTCCTACCTGCTCTGCATGACATCTATCAATAATGCAAACTGCAAAGAAAAGAGATTTCATCTGTATTTTTTTAAGTTTGTCCATAGAATAAAGATGATATTTCTTATATATAGGCATGCTTTTTTCAATCCATATTATTATTTTTTTTTGTTTAATTAATAAACAGGGTTTTATGAATCATTATGAATTAACAATATTTTGTGTGGCTTATCAAGTAAGGTAAATGCTTGTTTTAAGATACAAGTAGTGAAAGTAACTGGTAATACCTTCTTCTCGCTCCCTTATTAGCTGATCTGAGCTTCAGTCATCGAGGATCAACACTGTCGTTGGTGACTGATGCAGACAGCGTCATCTCTGGTGGGGCAGACTCAAACAGGTGACAACTTGTGTTTGTAAATGCACTGATCAGATTTAAAATCCTGCATCTCTATTTACATATCTATTTTTTATTTTTTTTTATACATATTTACAAGGGCTGCATCTGTGTGTTCTGTGGATTCGTTCCCTATGCTGAGCAGGGCATCCAGCAGGAACATGGACCGAGACTGGGAGAGCGCTTCCATAGCCTCATCAGTCATTTCAATGGAGTACAGTGGTGAGTCAGAAACAAAAAATGACAAGACAAAACAGCTTTTTTTTTTTTTTATTCATCCTCACCTGCTGCCAGAAGATTTTCCCTAAATAAATACATTGATCTACTACCATTCAAGAAATAATCCCGTAATATTTTCACAGTAACAACACTGTGGCAAGCCATTTTGATATGTACAAATTTTACTGAATATGTATTCCTGATATAAGAAAAAAACATTTTTTCTTTGTCTACAGTAAATGACCATTTCATGCAAACTGATATTCTCCACATCTAGAATAAACATTCTTGATGTCTAGAAATTTATTTCAGATCTCCATATTCCTAAAATTACTGGTCAGCATTTGCATTATTTTATTAATGAACAAAATTATTTTCAGATATCATAAGTACATTTTCAGTCAAGCTGATACATTTCAGAATGGCCAGTTAAAATGTGTAAACATTTCGAGATATATAAAATAAATATTTTATTAGTACAACTTAGTTGTTGTTTTTTACCGTCTAAAATTCAGTTTCTGCTACAAAAATGTAATTTAGAAAATAAATTGTTACAGTTAGGTCTAGGAGTGTTATTTTAATCAGGAAAAATCTTATTTTAGTGACCCTCAAAAGGAACAACAGTGAGGAGAGTTCTTTTAATAAATGGTAAAACGGCCACTTGATATAAACTTAAGCATTAAATGGTGCAACAGTCTTCTCCTTTTCCTCTTCCTCTTTGTAGCTCTAGCACTGCTTCTCTGTCCTATAAACACATTCTCATCTTTTATTTTAGTTTTTTACATTTCTGAATTAAAATCTCTAGTTGTAGTGGGGTGAAATAGGCTCTTCCTGTTGCCTGTTGTCATGGTTCGCACGTCCTTAACTCTGAGTGGACCTAGTTAAAATTGATTGAACTTATTGATAGCAGCTGTTGTGATACAGAACACTCAGAGTTCCCGACTTTAGGCTAGATCAATTTAGATTTGCGGATATGAATCTGAGTTTTTACACCTGCTTCATGAAATGGACCCCTGGTCAAATAAATGACAACAGAACACAATCAAACCCATTCTGGCTGTTTAAATGAAGGTTGCTGTTAGCACAATACAAAATCCTCTTAACAGGCTGGTTGGACATCAAGTGGTTGTTAAGATCAAGGTGAACGGAGATTTAATTTTATCTCTTTTTTTGTCCTTTTGGAGAATTGATGTAACAGAATGAGAGTTGAGAGATTTTTGTAGCCTTCCTGCTGTAGAGGTTATTTCCCACAGCTGTGTTAGAGAGCAGTCACTGTTAAATAGAATAATCATCAATCTTTATTGTCAACTACAATTTGCATTGTAATCGAGATTACCGTTTCAATTAAAAAAATAAAAGAATAAATAAAAAATTAAATACCTAACAATTCAAAATAAAGGCAGTATGAAAACTTTAAACTGGCTTTAGCATCTTATCAATTTGAACAATTAGAGTTGCTAACGTTATGAAAAAAAGCAGTTTATATGTCAATTTCTAGAGAATAAACAACTTTTCTTTGGGGTTTAAAAACACTGCTGATGTTTGGAAATCTATAGACAGTTTAAAACAGAGAACCTTTGCTGTAATGTCTTACTGTTACATGCTCAAAGTCCATACATCCATCCATTTTATTTACACGCTTAATCCCAAGGTGTGCAAGGTGTGCTGGTGTCTACGGGTGAGAGGCGAGGTTCACCCTGGTCAGGCCACCAGTCTATCACAGGGCAACACAGAGACAAACATTCACACACACACTCACACCTAAAGAGAATTTAAAAAAGCCAATTAACCTAACAGTCATGTTTTGGACTGTGGGAGGAAGCTGGGAATTGTACCCAGAGCAGTGCTACCCACTGTGCCACTGAGCAGCCCATCCTATAAGTCATGCTCTCTAGCACTGCTTCAATATGTTGGAAAACACAAACTACTTTCAAACAGCTTTTCTTAACTCTCTCCTTCCCCTGACTTAATTTCAACAACCCATGAGTTCAGTTTAAGCTTTTCACACAGTGATAACATCTACACTGAAGGGCTTTATCTTCAGGGTGACCTGATGCAGTCAATAAAAGAAGGTTGGGTTTGTGAATTTCCAAATTGCTGGTCACTGCTCAGTTTAGGCAGATCAAGCAAAAAAATTAACCTTAGCCATTTATGTTTTCCATAGCTTTTCCATGGACTAGATTGTTAATAATATCAAACTTCTGATCCAAATTATTGAGGAGAGTAATTCAATTTTAATTTGTGTATTTTTTTTGTGTACAGGTCCTAAACTCTTCAAGGAACCAAGCTCCAAATCCAACAAGCCAATCATCATCAATGCCATCGCCCACTGCTGCCTGGCTGGGAAGGTTAATGAGGTTCAGAAGAACGTTATCCTTGAGGTCAGTGAAATAAAACAGAATAAATCTAAGCTGTGCTCACAAAGCTTCCTGCGTTTTGTTTGATTTTCTGATCATGTGTGTTTTTGTCTCTTGTTATTATTTCCAGGAAATGGAAAAGTGTGAATCCAACCACCTCTTCATCCTCTTCCGCGATGGCGGGTGTCAGTTTCGAGCCATTTACACATACTCACCAGACACCGAGGTGATCGTCAAGTACACGGGCACAGGGCCGCGCACCATCACCGCCAAGATGATCGACAAGCTGTACAAATACAACTCAGACCGCAAGCAATTCACCGTGATCCCCGCCAAGACTGTGTCCGTTAGCGTGGATGCTCTGACCATCCACAACCATCTGTGGCAGATCAGGAGACCAGGGAGCGCTCGGAGAAAATGAGCAAAAATGACACTGTTTGTGTTTAATAAGCTACAGTTGGGCAGGACCCAAAAAAAGTACAAACTTGAAGAAGATTGATGGGATTAGAAGGAAAGTTAGATGATCTATGGCAGTGTGAGTATTTAGCACCCACTAACTCACTGTACTCTGTCTTTTCAATTCGTTACCTTTTATTATGCATGGTACACCTATTTTAATTTTATCATAATCCAAAGCCACCTACCGTAGTCTTGTCCCGCAAAATCTCCTTCCAGAAGCAAACATGCTATGCTACTGATGCAAAGTGCAGCTTTAGGCAGGCTGTGATGTACCAAGTCAGGACTTTAAAGTTTGTAAACTCAGCTTGGCATTTAAAAGCAAAAAAAAAAAAAAAAAAAACAACAACTACCGGTAGTTGGATTCCTTCACACTGGTACCTACTCAGACGATGAGCTTTGAGCATACGGATGGGTTGAATATTAGCAGTATTGGTCTAGTTTAGGGTGTGTGCAGAAATGAATGATTGTGTCAGTAAGGGTTCAAGCATTGCTTTAAATTGTTATTTTATTTTGTTAATTTTATTCAATATTGAGTCTCTTTGTTGTTAAAAGTGAAACCAGGACCAGTAACATTGGTTTCACAGTAAGGGAAATATTCTACTATTCATCCTACACATAAAGCATTTTTTCAAATTATACCATCTCTCTGTGAAAATCCATTAATCAAAAGCAACCAAGTTATGTTGCCAAGCAGACGGCTTTTGCTCCTATTTTGTTGTCTGGTCAGGCATTAATGTTTGATGCAGCCTCGGTGGCTCAGCTATTTCCTGCTGATGAGCAGTTGTCAGTGTTTGGTAAAATGTTTGGAAAAGAAACTGCACTATACTTGATATATTTGTTTGCTGCATTTTGTACATTTTTGAACAATATTTTCTGTACATTATTTACAAGTTCTGTTTAATAAAAAAAAAGTAGGCACTATTTTAAAGTTTCTTATGTTGGAGAGATCTTATGTCTGATAATTTCAGTTGTATATTTTATGTTTATTTATTTATTTTAAAGAGATATAATAAAGTGCAACAAGACATTTTTCTTGTTAAAGTTGGACCAGTTGTATCAGTTCTTTATAAACCAAATATATTATCTTCTTTCTTTGCAGGTCTCTCAGTCTTAGTATTATCATACTTTTTTATTCTAACTGCATGTGATTGTAGTGTATGTTTGTAAAGGTTGTATTGTTTCAAATACAGCTAAGAGTTAAAACAGTTAATTGAAATGTAGACAAAAAGAAAAAAGCTTTTACTCAATCACCAGGTGAAAAGATTCTTGTAAAATATTTTTCACATCCATTGCGTAATCGACCAACACATAGTAGTGCATAATATCAGGTGGAAGGAAAATCATCCAGTTTGTCTTTTATAAATAAGACAAAGTGGGTTTATATCTGTGTTATGAAGCTGTGATAGTGTCAGAATTTATACTAAATGTCTGGTAAGGCACTTTTGTTGCTCTTTTGTTGCTCCAAAGCAAGTTGGTTGGGATAATATATTTTATATAAGACACATAGTTACTCTCTTTATAATTTCTTAAAGGTCATTTTAGATAATGTTTGAAACAATATTTATGTATCCATCCATTTTCTCTTACTTAGTCATGTCAGGGTCGCCCATAGACTGCCTACCTCCGGCAGTCTATGAGCGAGATGCGGGGTACACCCTGGACAGGTCGCCAGTCTGTCACAGAAACATTTATGCACTTTTTTATAAATATGAAGAAATCTCTGAAGTGCAAAGTAACTGGTCACAAAATAAAACTGTTACTCATCTCAAACCCTTCAAAATTGGTGTATATGTAACATGCTGACTATATATGATAACAAAATAGCAATATGAGCATTCTTTACTTTTTATTTTTTCAGTAATCAAATACTGTTTATTGATCATTTATAATCATTTCTGTGAAGCCATCGGATCAAAATGAACAGAGTATAAAAGGAACACACAACTCAAACCACTCTATGTATTTTCGAGCACTTTAATGTGCACAGAAAGCTATGTTTAAGTACAAATTGAGTCAACACTGAAATGGAAAAAGAGATACACACTTTAGTCAAGCAATCACAACATGGCGCTTTAACATTATAGTAGGAGAAATAGGCATGGACCCCTTTACAGATTCTTACTGCATTTACATAAATAAAAAATGTATAACAATTAAACTGTTTACATTTAAAACAGGGAAGCAGTCATTATTTTGTGGCTAAAATAATATATAGGTGGCTATGGTTACAGTACACCAAACATATCGGTTATATATCCATTTTCAGGTAAAGCTTTAATAGAGATTCTCTTGATCTAATAAGAGTTTGCTTAACGAGTTAATTTTAGCTTATTAGTCAGACAGGCTAACTGCTTTGGCAGCCTGCTGCTTAACATGCATGCCACTTATAAGACTGACTGCTGGATTTCTCTCCTTTAAGGTAAGGAAAAGAGAAGTAACCTACTTTAACAAGCCAGCTGATTGGCGATGCACAGATAAAGATGGTCACCTAAATATTTCAGATCAAGTAAATTATAGTATGTAAACTAAATATTTATAAAAAAAATTTAGCTTTAGTTTTAATAACAGAACCAAACTTATTTACTGGCTGACATGTAGAATCAAGACGGTACTTAGAATTTGAAATATAAAGCAATTTATAAGGTTTTGGGGCTTTGGAGAACCATGGTGAGAACCATAAACTACAACTGGAGACAAAATGAAATAAAGGGGAGGATTCTCAGGGACTACAAAATTACTGCAAAGCTGAAACTCATCAGAAGGGTCGCAAAAAGAAGGACAGCTCAGGCCCGGCAGGCCTCGATTGCCTCAAGGTCTGTGTTGTTTAGTTTGCAAATGTAAGAAAGAGAATGGAAGTTCTATGGATGGCAAAGTTCTAAGGTCAAAAAGACTGCTGAATGAAACAAACACAAAGGACCTGTCTCACAAAATTCTTGATTGTCCCCAAAACAGGGTAGAAAATATCTGTATCTATCTATAAAAGAGAAATGTTGAATTTTTTGAAAGGTGCAAGTTACTTTTCAAGCCAAAGTAATATAACATTTCCTAACAGCTAAAACCATGTATTCTAATATCTAACAGACAATCCTGAGGGAGAATGTTTATTAGTTTGAAACCATTAAGGCTGAATTAAAACATGTCTGCTAAGAGGAGGGCGTCAACATTCCTCTGCAGTGGTGTAAAAGACAGAATACCGGCTATTGAAAAAGGTAAGGTATAACTTGTTGCTGCAAAGGTTGGTAAACCTTAAAATGATTTTCTCCATTAATGAATGAAAACACAATTCAAAACAGCTTTTGAAATCACAGCAGGTTTCATAGTACTGGCGAGATCTGCAGACATTTAGGCCTCTTATTTAAAGGACTTACATTTATAGAAAATATTTCATGGGAAATAGTTTCGATTCTCTAAAACATGCACGACACCAAAGAGTGCATGCCCAAACCCACAAAAGAAAAAAAAAAAAGAAAAAAAAGCACAACAAAAAGTACTTTAGAATACTAAAGATCAATCTCAACCTGTTAATAAAGCTGCAGAGTCCTCAGGAAAATAACACTTTAAACCAAGGAAACAAACATAGAAATAACTAGCATCATTATATACATACATAACCCATTAACATAGTCCTTATTGGCACTAATTAAATTAAATTAAATTTTAGCTACAAAATAAACATCTGAAACTTTAATGCTCATTTTTATTTAAGTCACTTAGGGTTGTTTGAGTTTAGCAGACTTTTAAACAGACAAATGTGTCAACCATGGAAAGTCAAAAGACAACTTAAAGCCTAAATATTTTCGATTTTTTTTGCTGAGAACTGTATAAGCAGATGTCTGTCATTGTCTTACTCTCCTGTGGTACCCTATGTTTCAACAATGTAAGTCTTAGGTAAACTGTAGATACACATCTAATAAGTCTACGGTATTTAGACTTGATGAAGCTTTTGTATGTACAGCATTTGAAGCAAGATGAGTAAAATTGCAAACATGATATCCAATGGGATCAGACAGGCAGTAGGCACTCACATTATACATTTGTGGGTTTCAACACTAAAGGAACCAAAGACCAAATTGTCTTCTTTATATTCCAACTGAAAGGAGGCCATCTCGGTTAAAAGTCAGCATTATGTCAGAGTGGGGTGTCCTCTCTGGACTCCTGTCTCTCTTTTAGGCTACTGCTGTGGACGGGCGGCTCATCTGGAACGTGCGCCAGAGGGTCAGAACGTATCAAATATCTGTGAGAGAATAGAGATGTTAGCAACAAAAACATTACTTTAACTCCATCATCGATTCTTTAGTTTCTGACCTTTAAAAATAAAAAGGTAAAGGAAGATCAAACTGAGATATTTTTTTATTTTATTTTTTATGAATTGTTGAAAAATAGATACTTTATGGTAATTAATAATGTTATTCTGCTTGTATAAATCACTGATGAGAATGGGCTGTGGAAAATAAATGTTTAAAACGCAAATATGCATGAATTTTCAGCAACAACAAAAAAAACTTTGCTAAATGTTGATAAGTATGGCTCATTTTTGCTAAAAGTGGAACTATTGTAGCAGCTTATTACAGTAAACTTGCTTGCATCCATAATTACAACAAGTAAAGCAATAAAGCTTAGTCTGCTTATTCATAAGACATTAATGCAATGATATACATACTCCAAAAGCTGCAAAATGCTTTGTTCCTTGCTGCTACTAAAACAACTGTCAGAGTCCTCATCTCCTTAGTTCCTATTATGAGATTTATCCTTACAAATTAAACTTGAAACACTAGGAGGAGCCAAAGGAACACAATTTTACAAGAAATTCACTTTCTTATTTTATGTCAACAGGTCATTTTAAAATTGATCATATTCCTTTTTACATTTTATTTTATCACACAAGAACCTCAAATTAGTGCCTTTTTGTCCAAATTGTATGTGACTGATCAGCACAAGGTGGTGAATAATCAGGAAGTTACAAAGAAAGAACATGATTTTACATTTTTGTATATAATTATAAAAAGTGGATAGTATTAGTCACACAAGCAGCCAAGTGGCGCATGCGATTTTACATTTTAGGAGGTAGAATGTATCAAGACAACTTTTCTCTTCTTTATAATGAGGAGAGAAAACCATTGGTGAAATCTGTCTTTAGGAATCAGGGTTTCCATTTACAACAAGTCAACTTTTTGGTCAACATGCAAATTGCAATATATGCGGAAAAGCTATCACTAGATATCACCCTGGCATCAGGTAAAACATTTTTCTCTAGATAGGTATAACTAGGTGATATACTCCAAAGATCTGTTCAAGATGAGACTGTAGTAGAAGGTATTGACTTTAAAGGGGTGAATACAATCAGACACCAT